CACAGAATAAACCCAAGATACGAACAGCAGAAAAGAATATAACCATAAAACTAAATTAAAACCTGCAGTAGAAGAAAACTAAGAGCATTAATATGTCAGGGAGAATAAAAAGGTATTTATCTAGTCCTGAAAATAACATAGTATAAATGTCAAGTAAGCCTTGCTGGTGAGAGCATTCCACAAATGGGGTGGAAAGCCACCCTCTGGAAAACCACCCTCTCATCTAATTTGTGGAAGCACCTAAAGAAGGGTCTGTGACTCTAATATTACTGCACAAGCAGGTAAATATGGGAGGAGACTCCCTTCAAGTAACCTGGCCCCAAAACATGTAGGTCTTATAAGATTACAACCAGTATTTTGAAATGGTAAGCAGTGTAGACAGAGAAGTATTGATATAATATTATCAAACCAGTCAGGTCTAGTTAGCAATCTAGCTGGTTTGCAAGGGAATATGAATCCACCTTCCCCTTACAAATTTTTGGCCTGTTGTTGTATGTTCTAATAGAAATAAGAAAATACCCAATTACATTTAGTATGAATAAAGGCTGAAATCAAAACATATAAATAAAGAACAGTTTCTCTGCAATCTTTTCTGACATAGGTCATGATAATGACCAAGGCCATATTTACTGAAACTGTTAATTCACTTTAAGTGCAAGTTCTTAATCTGTCTCTTCTTCCTTTCTGCAGGTTCTCACAGTGTGTAGGGTAGGAGGTAAAGATCTCTGGGACATACCCTTGGTGCTTTTTTTGTAAAAAAAAAAAAAAAAGTGCCAGAACTCATGTCTTGGGGTCACACTTTTACACTAAAAAAGATTTTCAATTCACCAACTTTTTTTGAAATAAAGAACTTATTTACCTTTTGCACATAGCCAGTCACTCTTCACACACATAAACATAATGGTCGCCGCCAGCAGTAAGCACTCAGTGCGCAACCACACACATCAATCCCAAGCCGAGCAGCGCCCCAAGCCGAGCAGCGCCCTCACAATCAGCATGGACACACAAGCAGCCCGCAGGCACCATTTCAATGATTTTTGCCACTGACCTGCTACGGGCAATTCAGGCAATTTTGACAGGCAATTCAAAATTATTTTGTAAAATCCATTGGAAAAATCCGTTAAAAAAAGGTGCTGGAATGCTGTTCCGGTGCATTCTATGACAAAGAAAGCTCTGCATACCCTCACTGCTTTGTTAAATCACTCTCTTGTGGTGTGGGAGCATGATAGTCACTTCTACTTTTAAAACATGGATGATACTGATTGTTTGAATGCATTTCAATTGGCCTTTCAGCTGGCATATTTATTTACAACATTTCCTGCTCCACATCTAAATGGGATGGAACATAGAACAGTAAAAAATACAATGAATACAAAAGAATACCAATAAAATCATGGCAGGTCAATCAACAAAGATTCCTTAAAAGAAAAATGCTTTTAGGAAATGCCAAGAACAACACAATGTTGGTGCCTGCCTAATCTCCAGAGGAAGGAGTTTCACAGAAATGGAGGCACCACACTGAAGGTTCTTCTATGGTTGTATTCCAATCAGGCTATAGGCCCATATGAAATCATCAGAAGAATGCCATCCGATGGCTTCAGTGTTTTCCTGTGGAAGAAAAGGGAGGGGGAGTAGTTCCTGGACATTGTCCAGGAGGTCCTCCAGGCCATCTGGCAATAGCCCCCTTCCAGACAGCAAGAAGATGGAGGAGCCACTGGGGAACCAGCTGGGGAGACATGGAGGAATGTCACCTGCAAGAGGAGGAGCACCTCTGGCACCACCCCTCTGTCACCTAGTGCTGATCTGAGACCATTTCTTTGCTTGAGCAGGCTGAGACCACAAGTCCCCAGGGGAGCAGTCTGCTCAGAAAGCCTGGCCCAGGGGCAGATGTGGCCAGGTGGCCACTGCCAGAGAGGTGACTGCTGAGACACAGCCCCCTATCTCCACTGGGTGAAGGGGAAGGTGAGTTATCATCATTGGGAACTCCTTACTAAGGGATACTGAGGTGGTGGTGTGTCAGCTGGATCTTGAGGTGAGGGAAGTCTGCTGTCTGCCAGGTGTACGCATCCAGAGTGTGATGGATAGGCTAGTGCATCTTCTTCCCTTGGGGGATCAACAGCTGCTTCTGCATGTGGGGATCGATGATACAGCCATGCAGGGGATGGGTGGGATCACTCAGGACTTCGAGGTATTGGGCAGGAGACTCAAGGGACTGAAGGTTCATGTAGCCTTTTCCTTGCTCTTGCCAGTCCACAGAAATGGGCCAACCAGGGAGAGGAGGGCTGTGGAGACAAATGACTGGCTGAGGGCATGATGTTGGAAGGAACTCTTTGGGTTCCTCAACCATGGCAACCAGTTCCTCACTGAGGGCATTCTGGTGACGGATGGGGTGCACCTCACCAGGATGGGGGAAAGAACCTTCATGAATGCTCTAGCAAGCTTCATTCAGAGCACTTTAAACTGACCCAGGGATGGTGGGACTGGGATCCCCAGAAACCAGTCAAAATCAGTCAGGTGAGATAAGGGTCTCAGGGGCAGGACAATGTAGGGACTGCAGGGGCTGGCATGGCTACTGTACTGAGGGTTCCTGGGGTATGCTTTGTTTAGGAAGCACAGGAAGAGAAAGTGGGGAGGGGGTGTAGTGCTATATGTTAAGGAAGGAAAGGGTGCAATGAGATACAGAGTGGGGTAGAAGGGGACAAGGTAGAGGTGATCCGGGTAAGATTGATGGGTCTAGACAGGGCAGGAACCTGATAGTGGGAGTATCATCCCACTGGATCAACTTGAGACCCTGGACAATGCTCTGATAGATCAGATTGGAAGGATATCCCAGGGCAGGGACACATTTATAATAAAATAATTCAACCTCCCTGGTATTAGTTGGGAGATGCACTCAGCAGCAGCTCAGTCCCATTGCTTCCTAGAACCTATGGAGGGAGGGTTTTTCATCCAGAGGCTCCAGGAGGTAACAAGGGAGGAAACATCCTAGACTTGGTTTTGACCAACAGGGTGGTGGATGATGTGCAGATTAGGGAGCTCTGAATGGAAGTGACCACTCTATCCTATGCCTTGAGATCAGGAGAACAGGAATGAGTAGTCGGTGAAATACTAGGATAAAGGACTGAGGCTGCTTTGGTTACCTTGATGGATGACCTACACCAAGAACTGGATGGGGAGAGTACATCCTGATTAGTTATCCTGATTCTCTTGGCAGCTTTCAATAGCATTGATAATTATATACTTCTGGACTGTCTAGCAGGGCTGGGCCTTCAAGGTACTCTTCTGTAGTGGTTTTGGTTCTTTGTTCCATCATGCTCAAAAGGTAGTACTGTGGGATTACTGTTGGCTGTAGAAACCTTTGAATGCTACCTAGGTTAAAAATGGGCTAAATGAATGTTAACAAACTGAAGTTAAACCCAGACAAGACAGAGGTGTTGCTAATCAGTAGAAAGCCTGAGTTGAACATTGGGATTCAACCTGTCTGTAGCTTGGACAGTGCTCCTTGACACCACACTGTATTTGGATCTTCAGGTGGTAATGGCAACATATATGTCTGCACAATTACACTAGGCATGTGAGCAACCCTTCCTAAATTGGACTGGTTTGGCAACTGTTATCCATGCCTCAATTGTGTAATGTTTATTACAATGTGTTCTGTGTGGGGCTAGTGCAACTATTGACATATCTGAACACAGCAAAATATGGCAACTAGGCTACTCATGAGTGACCAATATTGTGACCATAACAAATCTTTCTTCAAAGACCCGCACTAGTTATCAATCACTTTTCAGGTGCTATTCAAGGTGTTTCTTTTAAGCTTTTAAAACCTTTCATGTTTGTCCAAAGTGCTGAAAAAAATCCATACTAATGCTGTAAAGTAGGGAAAATGCAAGAGAATCTACTATGAGTGAGTGTGTGTGTGTGTGTTTTGGGTTTTTTTTTTTTTTTTTGGCTAAGCAGGGGATACTTTACAAAATTCACTCGCTATTCTGTATAAGAGTAACTATAAGGGAAGTTTCTCACATATCACAACAAAGTCTGTATGTGTCTGGGAAAGGGAAGACAGAGGAGAATGTAATTTTGAAGTGTGAGCAAACAACTCAGCTGAGTTTGGGGTGGCTTTGTCAGCAAAGAACATCACAGGGTGCAGAGGTACATCTCTCTGGAGATGTGGTACACAGGATTTGACTGTTAGGAGTGTTGTATCTCCCCCTATGTTCAATTTTTATATTTGTTAAAGAAATCTCAGATATTAAAAATAAAAGCTCATAAGTTTCCAGTGATCTCTTCACAAAGAAACTGAATTTGACTGCACACTTCTCACAGCTTGTGAAAGTTGAAGCAAGATAAATTACTGCTGCTCAGGGACTGCACAGTTCAGACGCTATTTTTGTCCATATGAGCATGAGCCTGGGGAAAGACTGGTCTGTTTCTGTGACAAATATTATATAAATAATCTCTAAAACATTCAGCTATTAAAGGTGCAATCATATGCAAGTTTAGATCTCCCAGCATGTCTCAGACACTGTGACTGGGGCATGCAAGGAGTTGTAGGACTTTTTTTCTAAGTACACATAGGCCTGAGCAATAAAGGAAGCAGTATGAATTCATATTCTTGTAAGATAGAGATTTGTTATTATTTCTTTCTTAAATCCAGAGTGTAGTATGATGTATAAGAAGATAAATTCTGGCAGGTGTACATAAAGTATTGAGCAAGAAAAGGGACACATAAAATAACAAAATACAATGTAGTCCTATATAAGATTGACTGGAAATTCCAAATAAGGCTACCATAGCACTGTACAATAAATGATTACTGATTATTTGAAAGGCACATAATATGACAAAATTAATACTGTAGGTGCAAAGATAGAGACTTTCTAAAATTTGAAGTAAGTTTCAGTGTTTATCAAATATGTAATTAGATGAGCAAGGAAGTAAGCAATCACAAACATTTATGAATTAAACTAAAACAAATTAATAGAATTATGTTTACTTACCTTCTCCCGAACTTTGTACATCAATGGCAATCTGTTGTTGACTTGATGAATAGCTTCTACATTTAATATCTGTTTTTGCATAGAAGCTGTAAGAGATTCAGGATATATTTGCAGATTTCCACACTGCTTGAACTATGAAACATAAAATATTAAGATAAAGATAAACAAAAAGAAAATATAATCCAAAACAGGAAAAGTAGGTATTACAATATGTCTTTTTATCATTTGTATTACAGCAACACCTAGAGGCACCATTAAGAAGCAGAATCCCACTCAGTTTTCTGTTGACAAACAAAAAGAAACCAATCAGAAAATATAAAAAAATCCCTACTTTTAAATTTTGTGATATGTCGATAAAATAATTACTTAGATGAAAAAGGTAGCCCTTAGAATAATTTTATAATCAGTGGAAACACATCAAACTACAAGCAGGACAACACTCAAAATAGTTCAATTGAAGTTAGTGGGAGGGGAGTTTTATTAAGGAACAGGCTATTTGATGTTTTTGAAGTGTTCATGTTGTTACCAAACTCAGCCAGTCAACAGCTAGGGCAAACCAAGGTGGACCCCAGACCTGAGTCAAAAGGAGCCTGAGGCGAGACTTAGAGCCAAAACCAGCTTTATTCTAGTGCACTATAGAATAAAGGGAGACAAAGGGGGATGTTCAGCCCAAAGCAGTGTCTCAAAAATTGCACCCCGGTACATGCGTTTTATACACTAGGTAAACAATTAGGTCACCTAATACACTTCTAATGCATCAATACATCAATGTATGCACCTCCTCCCCTGCTGTTAGCTTCAAAGAGTCTTTTCTTCTGTCAAGGACCAGATATTTCCCATGTCTATTTCTTATCTGCCTGAGATTCACGCAGGCTTGCTATGTTCTTACTCCCTGCACATTCGCAACTTTCATGGCGGCTAGAACCAGTTTCCACTGTCCCTTTGATTACTGTATTCAAGGTCAAGCTAGAGTGTTAGCTGTGGGTTACACAAAGTTCATTTTGTTCTTATCCACCCTCCCTTCTGGGACAGTATAACTGGTGTTTTTACTATGTGATCTTCCTCTGGCCAACTACTTTTAGGGTGTTTGGGAGTCTTACAATTGGCAACAATATGTTCCTGGAAAGATCCTGAAGATGAGGGAATGTGCTCTGCATATTATAAGACTGCTCAGAGAACCCTAATCTGGGCTATAGGTTGTGGTCTATAAATGTAATAAACAAACAAGACGAGGCCCTGATCAGCTGAAGAAAAACAAAAAAAAATCTATATATATACTGCATGTACCTTTTTATACTGGCACAGCTGTTTAGAACTTCGCAACAGTAACAGTTACTGCTTCTGCCCATTATATTATTGCCAGTAGGAGAAAATGTATGTGTGTGGGGCAGGGAGGTAATTAAACATGCAGTATAAAGAAGGCAAATGAGTTCTAAACTGGGTGGGTTGGAAGAGAAGGGGGAAATGCTGGAAATGTTCCCAGAGGAAAACTTTGTGTGTAAAACAAGCGTGGTATTAATAAAGCAAATGAATTCTCTAATAATATAGAATCAATAGATGAGACTTGTATAGTATTCCATATGTATTAGCTACTAAATATTAGAGCTTTTGACGCACATTATAAACTCTTCAGGTAATGACTGTTTCCATAATAAAAAAAGGTATTTTCCAGAGATAGTAGCTTTTGGACACTGTTTTATATTTTATTGTATAATTAATTTAATAATACCAGTGTAGCATATAATTTAAGAAAGCCTTCTGCTTTAAGTGCCATATTCCAGGTAACTTAATTCAGCTTCTTTAGTACTGGATTTTTATTTTTAGTTTTTAGGGAGATTTTGTTTTGGTTTGGTTTTTCATTTCAACCTCCCTCCAAGGAGTTTGGGGAAGTCCTTAAGTTTCACCCTTCCTTTTATCCTTTTTAATTTTTTTCCTTCCTTTTAGGCTAGGCAGACAAACGCCCATCTGAACTGCTTGTTATCTGATACATTACTATGCCATATAGCCTGTCATAGTCACGGTTTGAGTGTTTCCCTTCCCCTTTCACGTTTATGGGTACAGCAGAGATTTTAATCTGCATTATTAGTTACTGAAATGAGGTGCTGATAGGTGCTTCTATGAAGCGTTGCTTTCTTATTTCTGAGGTAGGAAAGGGGTGGTGGTGGTTGTTCCAGATGAGTTACTTGAAGAACAAGTGACGAGCCTCGGCATTGTGCTATTCCATCCTTCCCTTATCCGGTGCCCTTCTTCTGTGTTGGGTTACATCTCTCAGCATCCCCCCGCAAGTATGAGAGGATGCTGGGAGTTGTAGTCCAACGCATCTATAGCTACACTGCACCAGATTGGGGAAGGTGCATGATTGTGATTCCCTTTCACCCCCACCCGTCTTTTAGGCTACTCATGCCAAATCCACGAGCTGAATTAGGCCCAGCAGAGGCGCCCTCGGAATGCCTCGGCTTACCCAGACACCATCCCGTGCCGTGCTGGGGTTGGCCCGCCTCCCCTTTGGCATGTTTCACTCTGGATGCGGTTATCGCTTCCGCCGAGGAGCTCGGACCGTCCAGGGAGCCAGTGAGGAGGATGGGCCCCCTCTGCGTGCCAGACAGCCGCCCGCCCGTCCGAGAAGGCCGAGGCGGCAGCGGTTGCCATGGCCACCGCTACTTAGCGCTTTTCTTTCGTGTTAAGTTCGGCAGCTCTCCTCTGCTGAGTGCTGGGTGGGAGAGCGCCCGCAATGAGTCTCCTGACCATGAAGGAAGAAGGGGAAAATCCCGTAACGCCGAAGCCAAGGGCCGAGGAAAATAGACCCCCCCTTTCTCTTTCGGCAGGAGGGAGAGTTTCCTGCTCTTGAGGGGGTTCTGCTCGCTTCAGATATCCACATGGGGAGCTGATGGGGAGCTGAAGCCTTGTGGCAGGAAAACCCATTAAGCCAGCAGGGACGCGACCCTCAAGTTTCTCCCAATCGTTCAAGGAGAGGGCACTTGCGTTACTAAGGTCTATGAGCAAGATTCTCCATCACTGTCCTTAAGGCAAATAAAATAGTCACATCTGTAAGAAACTTTTAAGTGCAAAGAAGCATAGATATATGTACTGTATATGCTGCAGAGTAAAGGTACAATCCTATGCATTTCTAGACAGAAATGCTTACAAATTCCAACTTCCTCTAACCAAACATACTTGTATATAAATATGCATAGGACCTTTTTTCCTGTCTAACCATGCACAGAATTGTCCCCTAATTACCATTCTGTAATAATGTAAGATTTACTTCAGAGTAAATAATAAGAGCATTAGGCTGTGTGCCCATTATAAGTCTTGAACTTAGCCTAATTCATAACAGTTTTTTTTGAAATAAATCAATATATATCATGAGAGAAATGGAAATATTGTGTCCATTGCTTCAGACCCGGGTACAGTACTGAATCTGCCTTGGTCGCCCTGTACGATGACCTGTGCAGGGAGAAGGACGGGGAGGGCATCCCTGTTGGTTCTTCTGGACCTCTCAGCGGCTTTCGATACCATCGACCATGGTATCCTTCAGGATAGGCTTGCGGGATTGGGGGTTGGAGGCACTGCTTTGCAGTGGTTCCGCTCCTATCTCAACGGTCGATTCCAGAAGGTAGTGCCGGGGGACCATGTCTCTACGTCATGGCAGTTATGCCATGGAGTACCACAGGGCTCCATTCTATCCCCTCTGCTATTTAACATCTATATGAAACCGCTGGGAGAGGTCATCAGAAGGTGTGGGCTGCGGAATCATCAATACGCTGATGATACCCAGCTCTACCTCTCGTTTTCCACTAATCCAGGTGAGGCAGTGGCTGTGCTGAACTGGTGCCTGGCTGAGGTAATGGGCTGGATGAGGGCCAATAAACTGAAGCTCAATCCAGACAAGACGGAGGTCCTGTTGGTTGGCGGATCGGGTTTCGGAGAGGGTGGATTTGACCTGGTCCTGAATGGTGCAACACTCCCTCTTAGGGATAAGGTCCACAGCTTAGGAGTACTCCTCGACCCGGAGCTTTCTTTGGAAGCTCAGATGACAGTGGTGGCGAGGAACGCCTTCCTTCAGCTTCGGCTGATTAATCAGCTGCGCCCCTACCTGGAGTACGACTGCCTGGCGACGGTGACACACGCGCTGGTGACTTCCCGCCTAGACTTCTGTAACGCGCTTTACGTGGGGCTTCCCCTGAAGACGGTCCGAACACTTCAATTGGTGCAAAATAGAGCTGCCAGGTTGCTGACGGGGACGGGGCGTTATGCTCACATGACTCCAGTCCTCCGTCAGCTTCACTGGCTTCCCGTTGAAGCCCGGGCCCAATTCAAGGTGTTGGTTATGACCTATAAAGCCCTAAACGGCTTGGGTCCTGGCTACCTGAACGAGCGCTTACGTCCGTATATGCCCGACCGCCCCTTGAGATCTGCGGGAGAGTCCCTTCTCCGGGAACCCTCCATGAAAGAAATTAGGAGAGTAAGTACTCGGAGGAGGGCTTTCTCTGCGGTGGTGCCCAACCTATGGAATTCACTCCCCAAAGAGGTCCGCCTGGCACCGTCGTTACTGGTTTTTCGGCGCCAGGTAAAGACCTTTTTATTTAAACATCATTTTAATTGTTAAAACATATGATCTGGCCAGGGCAACTTCTTCTTCCTTCTCTTTCTCCTCCTATATTTTTATTTACTTATTTTATACTGATAATTTTAATTTTATATTTGTAACTCAATGTATTTTTTGTATTTAATGGTAATTTATTATGTTCTATTGTATTTCAATGTATTTTATTGTGTTGTAAGCCGCCCCGAGGTTTCGGCAAGGGGCGGCATAGAAATGTTATAATAATAATAATAATAATAATAATAATAATTTATTTGGTTTATAAGAGAGTGACTTGTGGGCTACAATAACCAAACTTATTTTTAATTTCAAGAGTCTGGAGAGTGGTGAAGAAACAGCTTGTATGTGAACTGCCCAATGGCAGTAGTACATCAGTTGAGTATTAACATTAAAATATAATGTAACACTTGTTCTTAACTACACAATAACATAGCAATACAATGAAGCAAACCACATTCAAGAGGGAATAAAATATTTTACAGTGGAATATACACAATGGGAAGATAGTTTCATTTATTGCTATTACATCACAAGTTTAGTGATTACTTGTATTATGTCCTGGGGATTCAATCTTTAATATTATGCCATAGGTTTAAAAAATGAAAATGCTACACACACTTAAATACACACTTTGTAAGGAGTGAAATATAATTACAGATGGAGGAAAAATAAAATATTCTGAAATTCCTTTTTAGATGACAAGGACATATAAACGTGATTGATCATGAACGGTCAAAGTTACACATAGCGTTTTCCATGAACAGCACACCCACCGCAATAAAATACAAACAGAAGTATTGATACCACCCATGCTCCTTCTAAGTAAGCCCCTAGGAAATAAATCCCATTGATTTAAATCGCATGCTTCTGAGTAAACTTGCAAGGAGTTTGGATCCGCTATAAGTCATCCAATAGTAGGCAAATTCTTATTAATACTAAACAATTTGGCAACACTTAAAGGTAGGTCAGAAGGACAAAAAGACAACTTCAATTAGTTATCTTTCAAACGGGTAATTAACTGGCCACACAGCTATGGTAAATCGATGCTATCTTCCTAATTCGCCTAGAGCATCTATTTCGCCAAACAGTTCACCACACCCGCAGCTTAAAATCCACCTTCAGCGCCCCCACCCCTTCCTGCAAGAGCGGAGTCGGAGCGAGTCACGAGCGATCTCGCGAGAGCTCGGCTGTCGTTTCTTTGTGAGGAACGCATGGAAAGGGGAGGAGCTTGGTCTTGTGTGGCTGTTTCTCGCTCTTTCCGGTTGCTTCGAGGTTATACAGACCTCCCCATCGGAGGAAGGGCGCCCGGCTTCCGGTTGCAGCTGTTCTGGTCGTTGCTGCGAGCAAGGCGAATGGGGGACCCCCGGGGAACAAGGGCCGAGATGGGCCGTGCTGGAGGAAGTGACACGGGGGCGCCTGCCCCTGTTCCAGCTTCTCTAAAAGGGGAACGAGAAGAGCCCAAACAGGTATCTAAGCACGAGTAGATGTGCAGATACTACCTTTCCCTACACCGCTGAGCCCTGCGCTTTTGGTATTTCTCCTGAAGGCTTACTTTCTATGTTGCCAAATTTAGGGTAGAAGCGCGAGTAGGATTTTCTCACGTTTGGTAATATATAGATCAACACAAAGTGTTTAGTTGCAGCCTGTATTTTCGCTAGAATACGTTTCTTAGTCTTTAGAGTGCCACAAATTTCGTTAGTTTTTGTGTAATGGACTAACATTCTTTGTGAGCGAGTTCTGTCAGTAACTCAAGCTTCGAAGCATGAGAAGGTGAAGTAGGAGTTCCCTTGAGTTTCGATGCTAACTTTATGAGGCGACGAATTTTTTCCCCACTCACTGTTCCGCAGTTTCACATTCCGATGTTTCCCTGTGTTATTTTATTTGATTTCTATGGTTGCCAGCTGCTCAACAGGGAAGAAAGAAGTGCGTTTTTTAAAAGGTCTGACACAAAATGAGTCAAGAAATGTATAAAAACCTTATAGTAAAAATGCTTTAAAGACAAAATTGTTCTGCTTCAATATGTGGGTGTACCAGGAACATCAAAAAAATAGCTGTAGGAAATAGCTTTGATAGTTGTTCCATTCCTTCCCGTGACTGTTGAAATATATTTAGATTCTCAGACATGGCCTTGGGGGACCATCAGAATTCTTCACTTCTTACCCTAGTCCTCATAGAAGCACATTAGGAATGTGTACTAAAAGGGACACGGTAGTTGATTGTCACATCTGTCTACTGTGGTCATCAAGCTGTACTGCAGTCATGTATTTTAGTTAATGGAAACATCGTGAAGCTGTCACAGAGTTACTTCCTTCCCTTCCTATTGGGGAAATCTTGGTTATTGTGGCAGGCTTGCCTCCTTGTCCCAAAATAAAAAGGTCTATTTACTTATGGAATTTCTGGGTTATACTGGCATATAGCTGTTCTGAAGAGCTACAAACATGTTGGCAAAATTCAGGGCAAGTTCAGTCTCCTTAAACAGTATTGAAACCATATCATTGATTTAACTGCCCTAATTTCTATTTAGTCTTATCAAGCAAAGGTGCTGGATTAATGAAATACCCATCAGTATCAGTGAATTTCTGTTACCAGATAATTTGGATCATAGTTTTAACTATTATATTTTCACATGTTTGTATTTAGTTTGGAAAAAATTGATTGTATTTAAGTCTAAGGTGTTAAAATTGAGCTGGTATCATCATTGCACATTGCTTTGGGTAGTTTTTTAAATGAAAACACTCTAATATAGGCAGCATGTAATGATAGCTGTAATGAGGAGTAATTGCATTAGAACCTCTTTACTAATTAAACTCTTCATTGTTTTATGCAAACTAGGGATCTGTGTTATTTCTTGGAGGCAATGAAGTAAAGAGCAGTGCTGTGGTAAAGTATTCATCTGCTCCACCTCA